TATATATAACTTCTGTATTAAAAACAAACATGAACTAACCTTTCCTCATATAAACCATTTAAGCTTAGAAGCACATTTTAAAATGCTTAATGGAAAAATCAGAAGTACTTATTTCTATTCACAAACTGCTTCAGTTTTTTCATGCAGAATGGTCCACTTTAGGACCAACTATTTTACAACCTGAATATCATAATTGGCCTAAAAAAACTAAATCAAGTTACATAATTTCAAAACATATTATTACTAAATCTTTTCTGAGATGAAAGGTTGCATCTGAGATATGCACACACATAATTTAGAGTTTAAAAAAAGATATGCCCACAGCATATGATCTCTGCCTAAGATGCACACAGAGGACTGAAATCATTTGCACTATCAGTAAAGGACAAAAGGTAACTATATAATAGCTCAGAGAGCCTGATCATCAATCTCTGTGCTTTAACCAGTATCAATGTCTTTACTGGAAAAATAGATTTAAAGAGATGACAGGTTTGGCTCAAGGAATATTAAACAAAGCCAGAAGCATGAAATTCAAATGTACAATACTCCATGCTGACCCAAATTTAAGGTCTGATAAAGTCATAATCTAGAATAGCTATGAACTTAATCACAGCACGCTGAAGGTTATGGCATTACTAAAATATGCGAATTAGCTAGAAAAGCAAAAGTTATTTGAAATGCAGGAGCAGAACAAACAGAATCAGTCAGTAAGGAAAATAATTTAATAAAAATGCAAGATAAAAAGTGGCAGTAAAAAAACATGCTTTCAAATTAGAAAAACAAATCATTACCTACATTCCCCCCTTCCTGTTATCTGTTACACCACAGAGCTCATCAACGACCTCCAAAGAGCCTAATGGCACCTGTTCATTGCTCGCTGACTCTTACCTTCAGCTACCTACAGCAGTTCTAAAAAATAAAACTTTCTACTGAACAGGCATAATTGCACTTCGTGGCATTTTGAGTAAACTGTTTAAAAAGCTTTTTCTAACCTTGTAAAATACTGCCATCCAAACAGAAAGACCCAAAAGAACATTTCTTCTTTTCTTACCTGATTCTTTAGAGCTCTTTAGCACAAGTGAATCTACCTCTACTGATTTTGGTCTAAGTGGTAATAGTTCAGAGTCTAACTTTGGTTTTGCTACTGGCTCAACTTCAGATTTTGGTCGAAGAGAAACAATTTCTCCATTAGATCTGTAGTAAGAAAAAATAAAAAATAAAAAGACATATCTAGTCAAGAGATTAAATAGTTTACAACTGAAACATACTAAGAATTAGAAGTAAACAGAAAAAATTCAGTAGATTTTATAATTTTCTAAAGCCTTGCTTAAAATCAAGTATTCCAGAGAGCAATTCTAGTCCTATAAAAGCCAATTCTTTCCTTCCAGCTCTTGTAGAGTTGTCAAACATGTACAATGCCCTTGTAAAAATAATCCGAAACTTCTACTACAGGGCACATTTTGGCACCTAAATGTAAAATATTACACTTCAGTGCAACAGAAAACAAGAGAGCTGAATAGCACCTTCAGTAATACCTCTTGATATATTCAGAAACATACTCATTGACATCAAAATCTTCCTGTAAAGAAAAAAGCTGCCAAGAACAAGTTATTTCTTTCTGGATATAAATTACCTTGTATATATAACTTTTATTCTTTGCATGTCTGGCCACATCATCCAGGGACAAAAAAGAAAAACAAACCTCACCAAAATAAAGAAGCACAAAAAACCCCAAAACATTACATTTTCCTTTACAATTCTTGCCATCATTTATGCCACAGCATAAAAAGAAAGTATATAAATGGACCAGCTGTCAGCTTCAATGTGTCCCTCTCATTAATTCATCTTCCAAATCCTTTATTTCAAAGTTTTCTTGCAGTAGGAGATAATAGCCTTATCTTCCTACAGCAATGTTAAGCTTTCAGACGTTTGAACATATTTAAATACTCTAAGATTTAAAGTTCTCAATTATTAAAGGACCAGAGTTTACTACACACCTCTAAGTGCACATGTGTATCCCTTTATGTCCATAATTATTTTCTAAACATCTTGTGGTTAAAAAAAAAGTTTACTTGGGACACTCCAAAATACCAAGTAACATAACATAATTACATACTGAAAACCTAAACAGAAATAGCAACGGTCTAACTCTTCAGTCAGGCATCCAGTGTTCCCAGGGCTGTGCAGTGTGGGATCAGAGGCAGCTCTGCCTACCTCTGTTGTAGTCAACCGTCTCAAGTGTGTGCCTTACCCACACTCCCTTTCCCCACTGCCCTCCTCCTCACTGTCTTCTCCCTTTAGATATTCTTCCTTTTAGTTCAGCTATACAGGACCTGCTGTAAAAAGAGATAAACCCTGACAAATGCTTGCTGCCATCCTCTATCTTTGCAGGTATTTAAGGTGCAAGCTCATTGATGTAGCAGCTGTCTCCTCTTTTATTTGTACAACGTTAAGTTCATCATGATTTTACTTTCTCGTGGTTCTTTCAAGTCAACTAAGCATCCCAAAATGATAGTTACCCATCAGCAGTTTATCAATTGGGTAAGGATCTGGCAAATACTTTGATGGAGGCAGAAAGGGAAACTGGGTGGAGGGGATGGACTGTATTGATGCAAAATCAATCTTAGCAAAACACCATAAGTAATTGTTATAAACTCACAAGAAAAAAATTACAAGTGAATCTAAAAGAAAAAGTGAGAGATTACTTGCTATCACCCTCCCTATTTGTCCAGTACCTCAGTTGAGAATACTCAAGGCAGAGCCTGGATGTGATTCTGTAGTAAATACTTTCTTTCTCAGAAGAGCACGAGCTACACTGAGTACCTTTAGCACAGGTACTAACTGTGCTTAACTCTTCCTTTCCATTTATCTTACTCTATATAAAGTGCTGAAACATTGAACATTGATGCAGCTCAAGTCTTCAAGTTTTTTTCCAACACAATAACAACTCCCAAGTGCCACATCCACAGATTCTTTTACAACATACTGCTACTCTAGTTACAACTTCTTCATTATGAGGCAAACTTAAAGGAAAGCAGCCCACAGATCTGTAGCTTCAACTGCCCCATGGTCAGTTATACTGTAATATTTACTCTGGCCTCTGGCATGGATTCAATCTTTAATTGAATTAGAAAGTTATATGTTCACACTGATATGAGTTGGAGAACCAAGACACTGGTAGGTATAGGGCAAAACTTATCCTTGCATCCTTTTCACTCTTAAAACATACACTTCTTTGCACCTCACCTGTGAAGGAAGACAGAGCAACAAACCAAATAAAATATACTTGGTGTATCTGATTTAAAGTTATACAGACCTGGACACAGATGATGGCAAAGCAGGTTTATCTGGACGTTTTGGGTGCAGAAGCCCTGCTCTCAGTAAGCTGTTAGTCTTGCTTGGAGGAATAGGCTTCTTGGGTGGTACTTGAGGAGCCTGTGGCTTCAAAGGCTTCTGATCCAAAGCTCCTTTTTCATCTGACAAAATAAGTCATCATAACATTCTAAAAACCCATGTTGTCTAGAATTCTTAGGATGGCAATCAACTAGAAAGCAACTGCTGCCTGAAATACTTTCTTTGAAGATCAGATCAAAAGAAAGATATGCAAGTGTCTTAAGTGATACCTTATCAAAACACACAAACTACTTACCTGAACTTACAAAGCTCTGTTAAAGTAAGCAAAATATCTTTCTACTGACATGAAACAGTAGTAAGAAATTATGTATTCACATTATTGTACTGCAAATGACAGCTAAGAACCAAGAATCTCTCTGTACTGCTACTGCTTCCTCTTTTCTATGAATTTACCTTATCTCCTCTTAAAAAAAGGTAGGGTTTGTTTCGTTTTTTTTTTATTTAGTTATAATCAGACCTCTTCCATACACACAAACAGCATAATTTATCTATGGAAAAAAGGGGAAAGAATAAGTATTTATCTGAATAACTAAATTTGTTTTGGACAAAGTCTACCTTCCTACAAATTCAAGATATGAATTAGGTATGGACAATCAAACAAAAGAAGTTCAATTTACTGTTCAATGACTGCATGACCTAATTCAATACTGTTCAGAGGAGCTGACATATAACATATGGGACACTAAAAAAATTCAAGCTGTTTCACAAATGTTAGCTGAATACTTTTCAACCTATGTTGCCTAATCACACCCTGTGGGATATCCAGAGCATACCTTCTACTTTTCTTTGTAATACTATGCTACAGCTCAGTCAGGTATACATAAAGCACTGAGGATTTAAAAGGTTACTGTTAGGTTAGAGTAAGAAGTTACAGTCCTTTAGGGTTACTGCCCTTACAGGACAATAAATCAGTTAATTGGGATGGAAAGACTGACCTTGGGCTTGGATTCTCCCCATCCTCCCCTCTTATGACTTTGCTTTTAACCAAGAATTGGTCTAATGTAAAATTTTTACATATGCTAAGGATTTGGGTTGGAAATTTGGTTCAGCTCCATCCCAGCTAAGTGCATTAACTGACAGGTCCATGACTGAGAACCTTGGACAAGTCCTGCAGCTGTTGAGTGTCAGCCCTTCAACCCTAAAATGGGAAAACACCAATTTCCACCCCCCCACCCACAGGAACACTTGGAAGCAAACAGCTCATAGAGATACTTCAGCAAAAAAAGCATTATCCAGGGCAGAATCATCTTCCTGGTTTGGGATATTTGAATATTAGGAGATAAGAACTAAGAAAAATAAACTGGTTGTCATCACCTTCCAGTCTCTCCTAGTATTGAGTTAAAAAAATAAAATACTTCCTGAAGTAGTGGAAGGATTTTGCCACACGGTGGTGCTGACTGTCCTGTGTAAAACAGCCTGTTTCTGCCTCTATACACAAGATTTAAATGTTAAATGTTCAATACCAGTCAGTATCACAAAGAGCTATTAGCTTTATTTTTGCTATGCTGAACATAAGTTGAGAATTACGCCTTTTATTTTTAAGAATAAGTGAGTTCATAAACAGGGCAGAAAAAAATGCTGTCACCAAATCGTATTCCTGAATTATCATCTGTCAGATTTCCCTGTCAGTTACTCCCACTCAAAATCTGAATATAAAAACCATCCACAGCTAAGTGGAAAAAGCTAATACCAAAGGTCAAGATTAACCATGAGCACAGAAATCGGACAGTTCTGCTGGACAAAATGGCATGCCTCTTTTTCAGACTTTCCTCCACAATAAAAAAAAAATGAGGATTGGCTAAAAATGAATAGTTTAATAATGGAAATAAAAATACTAATCTGAAGACATTTATAATGGACAAAAAATTCTACATGATACCACTAGGCATCCTTCACTATAAATACAGAAATACTCACAGAAGTAGGAGTATTGCTTTTAATTTTTGATCAATTCTTGATGGCAATTAAAGGCAGATTTATTAGTCTCCCAATAGACATTAAAAATTACAGGGTTTGATGGCTTGTGATTAGATCTGCTCAATTAGTTGGGGTTTTTTTTCTGAAAACTAATTACAGTACAATTTCATACTTAATGAATTTAATCTCTAGTACCAACATGGTTATTTTTCCACAGGTAAAACTGCACTGATAAATGGGTATTTCTCTAATAAAACACAACTGCTATCTAAACTAACTTTTAAGATCTGACTTTCAATTGAATACAAGACAAACTTTTCCTCCATCATCTCCTGTACCACAGTGAAGGACAGTTCTCTATTTTATTTTTCAGAAGCTTTCATGTTCCTAAGCATTTTGGATGGTGTCAGTCGATATTATTTTTTCTATATTCCTCCAAGAACAGTTGAACTCAACTATGCAAATGTTAACAACATAGTACAGACAGAACCAGTCTAAAATTAAATTTACTTCTGTTTAAATAAGCTTAAATTTATAAAAAGCCAAGTGATCAAAATTTCTAGCATCATACAGTTGATCCCAATTCACACAGGGGGGCATGTGTTTTTGGTAGTGAGGGAAGGGCCACCTTGTGAGAGTGAAAAGCTCCCCTGGCTCCAAGGCAGAGACCCCCCAGCCCAGGCTGGGCCAATGAGCACTAGAGAAACGCCTCTGAGAATCTGTCTTTGTGAGGGGAAGGACCGTCCTGAAAAGAAGTAGGTGGGGGTGAACCTAGAGGAGAGGCCATTGACCTGAACAAAAGATGACCATGACCATCGGCCTAAACTTTGTTGCCAGGAGGAAGGAGGAGGAGGGGGAGAACAGAGAACCTCAGACACCCAGTTCAACCCCATGGAGTAGGAGAAGGTAAATGAGGTCCCCTGCAGCCCATGGAGGTTCAACAGTGGAGCAGATACCCACATGTAGGCCATGTAGGACCCCACACTGGAGCAGAAAGCCGAGCCCAAGGGCGAGTGTGACTGAAATTGAGACCCCAAAGACGCTCAACACCAGAGCTGGGGTGGAACCCCAGAGCCAGGGGGTGAGGAGGTGCACTGGACCGGAGACCCATCTGCAGCCTGTGGATGTCCCCATGCTGGAGCCGGGAGCTGAGCCTGAAAAAGTTTGTGACTCCATGGGAAGCTTTGGAACATCTTGCTCCTGGACTTTCACACCGGGAAGAGCAGCAGAGGTGAACTGACTGAACCCCCATTCCCTGCCCCTGTGCTGCTGCCGGGGGGAAGGTAGAGAAATGGGGAGCAAAGTGATTTGAGCCTGGGAAGAAGGGAGGGGTGGGGAAAGGTGTTGTAAGATGTGGTTGTTATGTCTCACTGTGCTACTCAGATGAATGGCTACCAATTAAATTGATTTTTCTTCCCCAAGTTGAGTCTGTTTTGCCCGTGACCATCACTGGTGAGTGATCTGTCCCTGTCCTTCATCCTAACCCCGTGTGTCCTTTGTTGTGTCTCCCACCCCATCTCACCAGATGGGAGGGGGAGAGTGCAGGACCACATGGTCCTACTCTGGTTAAACCACCACACTCACTATTCAAAACTGCAGTTGCTATCACAGAATGAATTAAGCAGTAACTATGCTATTATGCAGTGCAATAAATATTTTTCAGAATGTAATTCAATAACAAGAAATACACATTCCATGGAAGTGTAGTAGTTGTTCTAATCACTCTAAACACATTCTCAGAACATCACAGACACGACCACTTCAGTAGATTGTACCAAGAGAAACCATATGATGTCTTTTGAACAGGCACCTACTGCACAGAGCAGCCAAGCTAAAAACTGTAACTCATTTACAACAGCATCGTCCAAAATTCACTACAGAGAAAACTGGTCTCACCTTTTTCTTCAGGCCTCAAAGAAGGGAATTTCTTCTCTCCCGTAGGCAATTCAGGCTTTGGAGCTGAATGCAAAAAACAAACCATAGACATTTCTCAAAAAGCTTTAATTATCTTAGTCACTAACTAAAAATATGACAAACACCAATTTGTGCTTATAATTTTTCCGCTGCAAGGACTGTAATACCATTTATAAACACTCATTTGAGCCCAGGAAACAGTAGGCTTGTATTAAAATGTTTCCAAAGTCGGCTCTGTCATACTTTTGAAAAATATATAGCAGCAGCAAAATACATAAAATATAAAAAGTAACTCAAACTGTGACTATGGGTGGCTGCATTACTAGGAAATACAAAGCTACTTCTTAATTTTCTTTTGAAGTCATGTGCTGCTTTTGAAATTTAGTATTTCCTCAGACACGTACCACCTCACGTATACGACGTACCTGGATTTTTAACTGGAGGTGGAGGTTTCTTTGGTTTCTGCAAAATGAAAAAAAAAAAGTAGTCAAATAAATAAACAAACAGATACTCTCTATCAAAGACTGAATTACTTGCCTTTTGTTTTGCACACTGTCATGTCTAGCTTGTTTACTAGCTGATTTCAAAGTACTTCACATAGGAGGCAATCAATTCACAGACAGAAAACACACAGAACTGAAGTAATTCCTCTGATACCTCCCAGACAACCAGTTGCAAAAAAAAAACCAAAATGCAGGTTTCTTCAAATCAGATCAGTGCTTCAGCAATATGCATAAGCAGCAGTGGTACAAAGAACTAAAAATTAAGATTTACATCTTTTCTAGTCCAAAGAATTGTGCTTATCACACCCATTTCAACTTCAATATGTAAACCTCAAGCTTAGTACAATGCAAGTTTAAAAGAATAATCAGGTAAGTTTTTGAACCAAAAATAGTCACTTTCACTGAAAAAAAAAAAAAAGGTTCTAAATTAAATATCAGAAAAACTATTTCAATTAATTGACAATTATAACATGTAAGGAAAAAAAAAAGTAGTTATCAATGTTTGCAAGATAAACACTGCAGTTACATCAAAAAACAGTGTTTCAGCTTCCTTATCACTGTATATTTAAGTGAGGAAAGGTGCACAAAGTCCCCCAGCCATTAAGAATTTATAAAGTATTATGGTGTCACAGTTTGTATACTGGGAATAACACCATTTTAAAATACTTTCCTTACACTGGTAAAACTGAATTTGATTCTCTCTCTCCTGTTGAAGGAGTACTGGCACCTCTCAGGACAGACATCTCAAGCCACTTCATCCTCAGAATCTGATTCATTAGCAGACTCTAGAAGAGGGATCTTTGTGGTTGTACTAAGGACAAGATTCACTGATAAAATGATCACAAAAGCCTACAAAAAAATCTGGGTTTTTTTTATACAAACACTGCTGAAGTCATATGGGCCCAGCCTAATACAGCCTCTCCAAAAACTGCTTGTAGTGGGTATTTTTGAAACAGTTGCTATGGATGGATTTAACTTGTGTGCCCCTACTGCTACTGAATAAGCTCTTCGTAATGCAGAAAGATTTTATTCTGACAAGAGAAAACGAGCACGAAAACATATATTAAATTTCTTTCTCTAGCAACAGAGAACACAAAAGCTCGGGAACTTAAGTAACAAGACCATATTTTCTTCCTTTCCCAAAACACAAATTCATTATCCAGCTGAGCAGCACTGCTGCTTGTATCAGAAACAGTTATACTGGGAGTTCAGCATCAACTTCCCATTATATAATTCTGAACTCTGTTTTTATTAAGTCGCTATCAAATAACTAATTACAATAACCAACCATCCAATGACTTGAACCTCGAAGCTGCTCAGTGCAAGGTGAATCCCTGTACTGAGACACACCACACAAAGCAGAATAAAGGATGAATGCAAGGTCTGTCTGCAGGAAACATTTTATGATAAAATAATATATTTTTTTTCTCCTCTGAAGGGAGCAATTCTGTATTGCAAACCAGCAATACTACTCACTGCCTCCTCAAATCAAGTCAGCTGTATGTTATGGCATTTATGCCATGCTTGCAAGGTTGAGAATCCATTTGAAAAGAAAACATTGACTTAGAGTAACTAGACTTTCTGTGTCTGTTAGGTAACTGAGATTAAATGCTACATTAATAACTATCTGTCAGGTTTTATCTAGCAATCCTCTCTGAACATCTCCAATTCCAGACAAAATGGCACTAAACTACTACGGAACTCCTGAAACTCTGTGCTGCTGAGATACAGGATTCAACATTTACATGTCCTGATCCGGAACTGAATCACAGAATCATGGTTGGGGTTGGAAGGGACCTCAGGAGATCATCTAGTCCAACCCTCCTGCCAAAGCAGGTTCCCTACAGCAGGTTGCACAGGAAAGCGTCCAGGTCGGTTTTGAACATCTCCAGAGATGGAGACTCCACAGCCTCTCTGGGCAGCCTGTCCCAGGGCTCTGGCACCCTCACAGTAAAGAAGTTTTTCCTTAACTTTGTCTGGAACTTCCACTGTTCCAGTTTTTGCCAATGGACCCTTGTCCTGTCACAGGGTACTACTGAAAAGGGCCCGGTCCCATCCATTTGGCCCCCATATTTCAGATATTTATAGACATTGATAAGATCCCCTCTCAGTCTTGTCTTCTCCAGGCTCAACAGTCCCTCAGCCTCTTGAGTCCCTGAGCTCTCTCAGCCTCTCCTCATATGGGAGATCCCATCCATCCCATCTGGGGTGTGATTTATGTTTGTGAATTAACACAGCCATCTTTGCTCCACAAACCTGTCAGAATCAAAACATCATACTAATTCTCAACAACAACAACAAAAAAACCCCAAAACTACCAGACTAAGGAGCACCATATGAAAACATGGATTTCTAGAAGTTTGCACATGAGATGGTAAAAAAGTATTTCTATAATCCCATCCAAAGATTATCCTTCATGGACTGCAACCTACTGGCAAGTCTTAACATGGAAAAATCCCAGCTGGTACCACAGGTGTCATTCAGCATTTTGCAATTACTATTACTTACAGGACTACAGATGGAAAAGACTGGCTACTTATCTCCTTTCAAAACAGTAAGGGTTTAATTTAGTAATCAGTTACACATAACATAACTATATCCTTTTCTATGACCTAATCATCCTCATTAACTACAGTTAATCTGGAAAAACATGTCTTACTTTAATATTTAAGGAGAAGCTGAATACAAACCTTAACATTTAAATCTTTCTTCTTTGATATAGTTAATTCAAGATAAAGTTATATAAAACTAATTCAAGGTGAAACTGCCACAATTGTGTTAATATTTTAGCCAGCATAACATGCCATGAAATTTTTTATTCCTTGCATTTCCATTGATACTAGTTTGTGAGACTAAATGATACATGTAAGAACTTACAGGAAAGTCTTTATCAGACTCTTGTATTTGAACAGCAAAATTATCTGGGAAGACTCCTTCTTTACCATTGAGTTCTCCTTTCCACCAGCCTGGGTCTCCAGTGTCCTATAACAAACAGGACATTTTAATCAATATTTACTTTGTCCCCAGAACAGATAGTTACAAGAACAACATTTTTGCTTTTATGCACAATATAAAATAATCATTTGTCTGAAATATCTCATTCATAAGAGGAATTCTTTAGCCACCTTAGCAAGGGGAAACAGCTATAGATCAGATCAGGTTCAGACACTTTTTGTTTGTTGTCTAAAAAGCAGGATGAAATGATATTACACCATATAGAAGATAAGGGTATAAGGATAAGATCTGCAAAGGGAAGGAAAGGAGATAAAACCAGTTATGACCCAATGCACAACTTTCAATATTCTCAACTTCCTTGACTGGCAACTTATTCAGTAAAGACTTCAAGTGTCATTGGAGTAAAACACAATTGTAATAAATAAAAGTGATTCTGATGTGATTGATCAGGTCCACTGGTCTGAAAAAGGTGAAGAAGCGAGAGGGTATTCCCTACTGAATTAAAAAATAGCCACATTAAGACATTAAAAAAAAAAAAGAAAAAAGGAAAATAAGGAAAATTAATTCAGTGGCACAGAAATCCATTACATGATCTTACTGGACTGAGGCTTTAGTTTATCCATAACAGAAAATATGATGTTATTTGAATATTTTAACAGCATAAATAACAGCTTTCCTCTGTGCCTCATATCCAAAATGGTGCAGATGTCATTCCATACAAATCCAAGCTGATTACTGCTGATATGTGCACTGTTAGCAGCACCAAGTAGTTCATCCCAAAATTCAGTACACAAGGACAATTCAGCACTCAGTTCAGCTAAGACACTGAATGTATAAAGGAGTGTGGGGGGAAAGAAAATATAAAATAATTTTTTTTTTTTAAATTCCATCCCATATTAAACTAAATAGCAGGAAAAAGACCTGAATAGGTGTTTAGTGCTGAAAGTAAAAGTTTGCTTAAGTTTTCTTTCATTTCTCCATCACCCTTTCAATTAAGTACTGTAGAGTCCAATTTCTGAACAGTGTGCAGTTGTAAATGAGATAAAGCATCTAATGCCAAACTTCCTTTAGACAGTGCTGAGGCATGTTACCCAGTCAGAGGCAACGGACTTTGAAAATTATCATATGCAGAATAAACAGAAAAAAAGTGGCTGAGGGGGACAGGCTTTACACAAAGAGAACGTGCTAAAGGAAAATATCTTAACATTTGCAAGATCAAAACCCTGGACTGAGTCAACCACCTGACAGTTAAATTAATATACTCAGACTTCAGAAGACGGTTGTAGAGGGAGAACTCTGCTCTGGATAGCTCTTCTTCAGTGTGGACCAGGGTATGCTTTGGGTAAATCAGTTTAAAAAGGATAGAGAATAAAGAGGTAGAGTAAAGATAATCGTTAGGAAAGGCATGTTTTTAAACATGACAGCCCCCTGGGGCAAGGGCTGTCATGTTTAAAACGTTTCTTCTCTAACTACTCTTTTCCACTGTAATTACAGTCAATAATACTGATAGTATAAATTTTTTTTGTTAAGAAAAGTGGCAATCTTTTCCATAAACTAAAATCCTCCTAAAGAGACAAAGTGTTACATTTCCTCTACAACTGTGAAAACTGGAAGAAAAAAAAAAAACAAACAAAAACCAAAACCAAACCCCCCTCAAATGTTCCACCTTTTTTAGGCAAGTCATTATTCTTTAATATAGCAACATGTAAACAGTAACTAACAAAAGACTGCAGAGTACTGAAGGAAAACTAAGTATGGGTAGGTTAATTTCTTGTTAAAAAAAAAAAAAAAACATTTTGGTAACAAGATGACCTTTCAAAAAGGTGTTTTCAATACTCAACACAAATAG